GGTTGGTGGCAGGGACCCAAGTCCTTGGGCCATCATCGCCTGCTTTTCCAGGTGTATTAGTAGGGAGCTGGATCTGTAGCAGAACAGCTAGGACTGTAGCCGGCGCTCAGCTATGGGATGCCAGTGTGGCAAGCTGTGGCTTAACCCACTGTGTCACACACACAACCCCCCCCCCAGGCCTGAGATGATCTCCTGGCGATGGGAGATGTGTGCACTGTATCCGGATCCACTTCTCCACTATTCCACTGAGGCCCCAGTGAGCTTCCTTCTGAGGCTCTGGGGAAGTTGACTTCCCTTCTGCTGGAGAGGCCAAGGAGGCTGGAGGTCCTGCAGAGGCAATTCTGTGTCAGGGTTCAAGTGCCAAGGTCACACTAGAGGTCTCCAGCTCCCCTCTTTTTTTCCCAATTCTTTCTAGGAAGCCAAGTCTTTCTACCCCAACTAGATAGCCCTCAGGCCAAGAGCTACCCTCAGGTGGATTGGAACTGTGGTCCTACCTTTGCCACTCACTAGTTGAGTGTATTTAGGAGGTCAGTCTACCTCTCCTCGCCTCAATTTACTTAAACCTAAAATGGGACTAATGATACCAATTCACCGGGTGGCTTGGGAATGCAATGTAAGGAAGGGACTCATTTAGAGGCTGGCACTGGTCAGCACCCCATTTCCCTGTTCCCTATGGATGATCTTTTCAGATCTGGCTGCTGTACTGTTTTCCATTTGTACTCAGGTCATGGGTCAGCTCAGAGAGGTGGTATGAGGATTGGTTCAGCATACTGATTCTTAATTTATTTATTTGAGAAGCAGAGGTACAGACAGAGAGGTCTCCCATCCACTGGTTCACTCCCCAAATGGCTGCAATGCCCAGAGCTGAGCCGATCCAAAGCCAGGATTCAGGAGCTTCTTCCTGGTCTTCCACGCAGGTACAGGGGCTCAAGCACTTGGGTCATTTTCTCCTGCTTTCCCAGGCCATGGCAAAGAGCTGGATCAGAGCTGGCACCCATATGGGATGTCAGCACCTCAGGCGGAGGCTTAACCCACTATGCCACAGTGCCGGCCCCTTAGCATACTGATTCTGGAGCCAAACTGCTCTGGTAGAAACCCCAGCTCTGCTGTTTTGCTAGCTGTCCAGTCTGGGCGAGACACCTAATCTCTGTACTTTGGTTTTCTCATCTGCTCATAGGATTGGCAACAATTCTTAATGAAACACCCAGCACCTAGTAAGAACTAGTGATGGGGGCTGGCACTGTGGCTCACTTGGTTAATCCTCTGCCTGAGGCACCGGCATCCCATATGGGCACGGGGTTCTAGTCCCGGTTGCTCCTCTTCCAGTCCAGCTCTCTGCTGTGGCATGGGAAGGCAGTGGAGGATGGCCCAAGTGCTTGGGCCCCTGCACCCGCATGGGAGACCAGGAAGAAGCACCTGGCTCCTGGCTTCGGATCGGCGCAGTGCTGGCCATTTGGGGAGTGAACCAATGGAAGAAAGACCTTTCTCTCTCTCTGTCTCTCTCTCTCTCGTTGTCTATAACTCTACCTGTCAAAAAAAAAAAAAAAAAAAAAAAAAAGAACTAGTGATGAACTAGTTTGTGCTATACGCCCTGTCTTCCCCTGTGGACATAGTCTCAGAGCCTTCTTATTTCTACAGAGAGGCTCTTGGGGGAAACTTCCCAACTGAGAGTCCCCATTCTTCATTAGACTGGTTTTTTTTTTTTTTTTTGGCTTTTTTCTGAGTTTCCCGGAGGCGAGAAGGGGAGACATGGTGGGGGCACTTGCCGAGAAGTTGAACATGAGATGATTGAAATATGATCGAAACCTTATGGAGCGGGCTCTGACCAAAACTCAACCACAAAACAGGGACAGCCTCAACTGTCTTGAGAACTGGATGTGCTCCAGGTTGTGGGGTGCACAGCATGAAAGGGCCATGTTCAATTCCATCTTTCATTAATCAAATACGTGTTGGAGTTTATTTTATGCCCCTTCTGTGCAGAGCAAGGCTGGCGCTGGAAATGGGCAAGATCCAATCCCTTTCCCTACAGCTCTCACAACAGGCTGTTGGGGCTGGGCGCTCTCTCAGCACAAATACCAGGAAGTTTCCGGGAGACACTGACTGCTGGGATCACAGCAGCAGAGGGCAGGGAGGTGCCACTCACCTTGAACTTCTGGCAGCACCACATGTCCTAGAGAGGAAAGTGCACATCTAAGGGCAGGCAACAAGGCTCTCATAACCCTGAAAACATCGGGGAGCTAGGAGTCCAAGCCACCCCTCAGAGAGCTGGCAGCCTCCTCATTGTCAGAGGTGGACAGGCGGCTTCCTGAACAGGTAGACTCTCAGGACTCGGCGTAAATGAAGACACAACACTTGTCAGGGAATCATAGTAAACCAGGAAGTTGATTAGAAGGAGTCACAGTGCTGAAAACGTGAGTGGGTGGGACAAGCCTCCAATTGCTGGGCTTTTTATGCTTCTGGCAGGCAGAGAAGGGGAAGAAATCCAGTGCCCAACGGGCGTTTGGTATGTCTGGGGTGGGGTGGTGAAAAAGATGAAGGGGGAAAGCTAGAGTGGAGGGTGCTGGCAGGAGAGAGGACTGGAGGGTGACAGGCCGGCTCCTTTAGGGGCTGCAGTGCCCACCCTTACCCTTCCTCCGAATCCCCCTTTCCCCAGGCGTCCAGGGCCAGGCAGAGAACTTCCTGTCCATTAGCTCCTGGATTTTTCTCTTCCTGAGCCTCACGATCCTCTTTGTTCTCAGAGGTGGCTCCAAGAGCCCCAGGAAGTGGGAAAGCTCTGGGTTAGCTTCGTGTTGAAGGAGGCTATGCAAATGCCAGGGGTTTATCAAGAGACTTCAAAGATTCAGGAGCCACATTTTTGTCTGGATGGACCCTGCAACATCCAGTCCCTTCCTGCCGTCTGACAAATGGGGCAGCCGAGGCCTCTGGCTGGGGAATGGGGAAGGAACTTGCCCCGAATCACATGGTGATGGGGCCGGAGACAGGATGGTGAGCCTCAGGCCCAGGCCCTGAGTTCAGGACTTGCTCTTGGATCTCTCTGCAGCCGTGTCACAGGGCTGGTGTCCAGGGGCCTCGGTCCTGCTAGCTCCACCTCCTCTGCTCTGTCTGAGTATTCCCCTGAGGGCCCAGAGGGAGGCTTTGGGCTTGCTTCCTTGGTAAGCTGCCTTTCTTTTGGTTTTACTGGGAATTAGAAGGATTTGAGACTAAGTGCCCTCCCCGCCACATGTGTGTCTGTCCCCTGTCTGCCGGGGCCCTGGCCCAGGGTCCACAGCTGGGTGGACAGGGTTGGCTGTTTTGGTGGTGGCTTCAGGGATGGATGGATGGATGGATGGGGAATGAGTGGTGGATGCAGGGAAAGCTGTGTGGAGGGATGCATGGACGCACGGATGGGTGGGTGATTTTCCCCAGGCAGCACGGGCACACTGCCAGCCACGTAGCTGGTCCTGAAAACTCTCCTCATCCCTCTTACCCCTGGTGCCACAGAGCCCTGAGGTTTGGAACACCTTCTTCCTAGGAAAAGGCTGTCTTGCTGTCAGCCCAGTGAAGAAGGGCTTGCACAGCCCCCGCACCACTGCTCCCCTTTCAAGGCCTGCCTGGGCCTGTGTGGAGCTAGTTTGGCTGACGTGCATCTGGGGTAGTGACGTCCTCTCTTCCTGGCCAAGCATACCCAGTCCTGCCTGCCAGCCACCATCTGACGTCAGCATCACAGCCTTGCCGCTCCCAGCAGGCAGGCCCTCAGAGTCGAGGGTCTGGAGGCCAGCCAGCTGCCTCAGGGGACTTCCCAAGCACGAGGCACTCACGCCTCGCAAAACAGCTGTTGTGGCATGTTCCGAGAGGCACGGGGCTCCCGTCCTCCAGAGCAGGGCCTTCTTCCCGAGAGTCCACTGGTCTCAGAGTGCCTGAGTCCCTTGTGCCCCGTAGTGGTGGTGGTGGTGGTGGGGGAGGTTCCTCCCAGCTTCCCGGCTTGCTCCTCCTTCCCACACCGTGGGCCTCTCTCCCCTCTCTGATCTCGGGTGTGTTGGTGTCCCTGGGAGGCGTGGCCTCACCATGACATGGGCGGGCCGGACCTTGCTCAGACGGAGGAAGGGGTCAGATTATAGACAGATGAGTCCTCACCCTTGGCTGCTAAGCCTTTCCTTATGTACTTCTTCATCCCCTAAACAATGAGTTGTTGACAGGCAGAGTGCTAGGCATCAGGGAGAGAGAAACCAAAATAGACATGATCTCTCTCCAGGAAGATGGACAAACTGGCAGGCCTCAGTCAGCGTGAGGGAGGAGGGGCAGGGGGCCCAGGGAACTCAGAAAGGGGGGAAGCTACCTAATGTAGCCTGGGGTCAGAGAAGGCTTCCTGGAAGAAGAAGCATTTAGACCCCATGGGAAATGGGGTGGGGAGAATAGAGAGAGGAGGGTACCAGACAGAGGGGATGGCGTGTGTGGATGGGCTCTTCCCTCCCAGGCTCTGGGCAGGGCTGGGGAGCTGTTTTTCTGCCAAGGGCCATTTGGATATTTGTAGCATCATTTGCGGGCCATACATAATTATCAACTTAAAAATCAGTCTGCTGTAGATTTGTTAAATTTCAAGTCTTGCCTGTAGTTTCTTGGCCAGGCCAGATCAGCTTGTTTCATGGGCCTCTTACGGTTTGGTTTTCACCCCCCCCCCCCAACCTCCCGGTTGAGGTTCTTTGCCCTTCCCCCAAGCCACAAGAGCTGGTTGCTGACAGCTTCCCTCCCCCAGTGACAGTCATCCCTGAACACCTGCCCTGGGGGGCGGGACGGCCTCTGGTGTCAGAGCAGTGCTCCTAGTTTAGTGTTGCTGAACTGTGCAGTGTGTTGGCTGTGAACAGACATGAGGGGGCCTGGTCTGGAGAGCATGAGGGGTGTTAGGCGGAGCCTGGAGAGGAGGTTTCTTGGGCTGCAGGGTGGAAAACAGGTCCCGCCATTCCACCTCCCCCGTTGCTACTCCTGTCCTCCTAGACAGACAGCAAACAGACAGTGGACAGATAGACGCGGGAGTGCCAGGTGGCTTTATTGGAAGCATTGCAGTCTGGGTGAGGAGAAGCTGTGCCCTCACACACACCTTCTCGCTCGAGTTCACACCCTCGTCGACACTCTGCAGGCTCTGCCCTGGCTGGCTCTGGCCTGGTGCAGGGGAGCTGGGAGCCTGCTCCTGCCTCCTCGTCCTCCGACCCCAGGCCGGGGTGATTCACATCCTCACTGAGACACAGAGCCCCCTGTGGTGCTGTCCTGGGCTAACTGCTCTGGTACTTGCCCTGGGGAGGAAGGAGAGGCAGGGTCAAGGGCAGAAGCTGGGGCCAGGGGCTTGGAGGCAGGAGGCAGGGCTGGGGAGGACCAGGCTTGCCTTGGCAGAGATCCGCTTCAGTCTCCGAATGATGCGGCCCACCCAGGGCTGTTCCGGGGGTGCACAGAGCTGGAAGCCCCTCAGTGTGGTGAACCTGGAGGCAGAGAGAAGGGAGCCCTGGAGCCCAGCTTCCTGGAGGGCTGTAGTAGGAGGGGCAGAGGCTGGGGACCACGACTGGGCAGGTATTTCAGGGACTTGGTCTTGGCAGGGAGAAGAGGGATAAGAAAGTGGGGGTATCACCAGGGGCTGACTGGGGGAGATGAGGCTGGAACCCCCCCAACAACTCACACTACAGCAGGTACTCGGCAGCCATCGGTGACGAGCAGGTAGCGAAAGGCTCTCACGATGTTGCTGGGGATGGGGCGCTGGGTCACAGACAGGCAGCAGTCTTCAGCATCATTAGCACCACCCAGAGCTGGTGCTGGGACAGGAGAGAGAAGGCGTCGGGCCATGGGGACCACTGGGTAGGGTGGGGGGTGGCGAGCAGGGCTCTACTTGAGATTGAAGACAACTTTTGGTGGTGGGGGTAGGCGGGTTGTTGGCCTGATACTCAGTCCATTATGCACTGATGTCACCCTAGTGGTTGACAAATAGCTGTGAGCCTTCTAAACTGTTTGATCAACAGCCATGGCCCTGAGTCCCACAGTGCCTTCCTCCTGTCCCAGTCACTCCATCCTCCCTCCCAAGCCCTCTGGGTATCCCCACAGTCCAGCAAATAACGAGTTAATGCTGGTCACAGTGCTGGGTGAAGAGGTGTTTTAGAGACCTGATATTTTGACTACCAGCCCAGCTGCAGCGTCTCCCATTCTCTCTACATTCAACACAGATCGTACTGTTCTCTCCTTCTGCCTGGGAAACTGACGCAGTAGGCAGCAGAGCATGCAGAGAGGGGGCAGCCACAGCCCTGGGATACACCAAGAGATGGACTCCATTTGGAAACCAGTGTAGGTAACCCACACTCACAGGCACACACACACACAGGGCACAGGGAGCCCCCAGACCTAAGTAGCTGCCTCACACCCAGGGCCAAGCAGTCTGACAGCGGCACTGTCACGGCCCTCCCCCCCCCATCTTACCCAGGGAAGTCCAGAGAACCAGCAGGCTGAGGGCCAGGAGCTGGGCTGCACCAGGGGCCATGGAGGGTGAGCGGAGGCAGAGCAGGTGCGTGTCTGCGGGCGGCTGGGAGGCGCAGGTTTGGGATGGGTGTGCAGCGGGGAGCAGGAGCAGGCGAGCACTGGGGAGTGCACAGGCGTGAGAGGACCTAGCAGTGTGAGTGCTTGTGCAAGGCTGCGGCTGCCTCCTATTTATGGCCCAGAGCTTTCACTTTCTCCATCTAGAAATTCCCCTCCATGTCCCATTCCATGGATTCCCCTTTTGCCCCCTCTTTTTGGCAGAACCCTGCCCCGCCCGCCCTCATCTCCCCTCTTCTGCTTTCCTTGGCTTCAGTTCTGAGAGCCTAAGCAGCTTGCTGTCTGGCCAGGAAAAAGAGGACTGAGTTGTGGTACTGTGATCCCACTGCTGGCAATAGCTTCGTCCACCAGAAGTGATGGTCAGTGTTAGGGTCAGAGCAGTGTTGCACCCCTTTCCCTAGGTTCAGTGGCCTCCTCATTGGTGCTTCTCTTCCTTCGAGGCTTGTGATGAAGACATTTCCTGGGTGCTCTAGGAACAACCATGAGAGCTGGGGTGGCCTTCCCAGATTGTCACATTCCCTACCCATCCACTATGTGGGAACCAGTCCCTCCACTGGGACAAACAGCCTAAAGGCAACGTTCCTTGGGAGGGAGCCAAGATCTTCCTTCCCACATCCTAGGCCCTGGGATTAAAGTTGAGCTCAGCAAGAACTTCCCCCTCCTTCATTCATTATTTTTAATTTTTTAAAATATTTATTTATTTGAAAGACAGAGTTACAGAGAGGCAGAGGCAGAGAGAGAGAGAGATGGAGAGAGAGAGAGAGAGAGAGAGAGAGAGAGAGAGAGAGAAAGAGAGGTCTTCCATCCACTGGTTCACTCCCCAGATGGCCACAACAGCTGGAGCTGGGCCAATCTGAAGCCAGGAGCCAGGAGCTTCCTCTGGGTCTCCCACATGGATGCAGGGGCCTAAGGGCTTGGGCCATCTTCCACTGCTTTCACAGGCCATAGCAGAGAGCTGGATTGGAAGTGGAGCAGCCGGGACTCGAACCGGCACCCATATGGGATGCTGGCACTGCAGGTGGTGGCTTTACCCGTTATGCCACAGTGCTGGCCCCCTATTCATTTCTTTCCTCTGTCCCACACCTGGGTCACAGGAACAGGGGGCAGGAGTCTGCCCTGGAATAGCCCATTTCATCTTTCCCATCTCCTAATCCTGGGAACCAAGAGGGGATTTCTAAGGAGAGGGGCTGGCCAGCTCATATTCAGACAAATCCCCAAATTTCAAGGAATTGACAGAGGAGGGGAACAGCGATTTCCCATTCTTATGAGAAAGAGTGGAAGAGAAGACCTCAAATGAGAAATTAAAAGATGGGACGCCCTTGTAACCATCCCCGTGCTGGGCTCTCCTTGGTGGGAGGGGTGTGTTCTCACACTCATGGGTTTCTGACTTCTCTTTCTTTCGATCTGTTGCTAATAATGATGACTGATTACTCTGTGCTAGGCTCTGTATCAAGGACCAAACCAGTGTTACCTTGCTTCACTTTGCCAACAATGCTATGAAGTAGTTGTCAAAGTTGTTTTCATCATATTGTCTCTGCTTTACACGCAGCACAGGTCGCATAGCTCAGCAGTGCTGGAGCGTGCTCTGAGCCAGGTGTCTTTTGCTCTGAGATTGGCACTCTTCCATATTCGTCCACACTGCCTGTCTGCCGATCGCAGCGCTGAGTGCGCAACACACAGCCCAGGGGAGGAGACTGTCCGGATAGTGTGTCTCAGCTGGGGCTCAGGGTGCACCACTCACCAGCTGTGTGATCAGGCGAATGCTCGTGATCTTATCTGTAAACTGGGGATGGTGATAGATCTATGTCTTGTGAATCGAAGATTCTCTGAGTAGAGCAGTTACCTTAGAGGCTTGCCCATAATGCGTACTCCTCAATAATTAACCAAGAGTGGGCGTTCGGCCTAGGGATTATGATGCCCATTAAAACACATGGCTCCTGCATTGGAGTGCTTGGGTTCAATTCCCAGTTCTGGCAGCTGACGCTAGCTTCTTGCTAATTCAGACTCTGAGAGTGAGTGGAGAGGGCTGCCTCCTTGTGGGAGACCTGGATTGAGTTCCAGTTTCCTAGCATCATGAAGGAGCCCCCTTATTCTTTTTGTTTTAAAGATTTATTTATTTTATTCGAAAGGCAGAGTTACAGAGAGGCAGAGGCAGAGAGAGAGAGAGAGAGAGAGACAGAGACAGAGGGAGAAAGAGGTCTTCCATCTGATGGTTCACTCCCCAGATGGCCAAAATGGCTGGAGCTGTGCTGATCCAAAGCTGGGAGCCAGGAGCTTCCTCTGGGCCTCCCACATGGGTGCGGGGGCCTAAGGCCTTGGGGCCATCTTCTTACTGCTTTCCCAGGCCATAGCAGAGAGCTGGATCAGAAGTAGAGTAGCCAGGACTCCAACCGGCGTCCATTTGGGATGCTGGCACTGCAGGTGGCAGCTTTACCCACTATGCCACAGCGCCAGCCCCTATAAATAAAATTTTTAAATGAACCGTTATTATTTAATCCTTTCACTCCTGTATCTGTCCATTAATTCATCTACCCAATCATCTTTCTGTTGATATATCCAGCCTGTGCTGGTTGTAGTTGTTCTCTGTTTGCCCCAACCCCACCCATTATTTATTGTCCACTTTCCTGTGCTCTGGCAGGCTGGAAGACTGACCTCTGCAGATTGCATTACCCAGGATTCCTTGCCCATGGGAGGTAGCAGCAGGGGATCCATGAGTGGAAGGAGAGAGGCTGGGGGTGCTCATCGCCCGAATCTTTGGTCTTGCTGCAGTCTGTAGTGAATACCACCCGTATGGCAGCTGTTCTCAAAGAGCAGTCTTTGGACAGTGGCCTCAGCTTCACTGGGAACTTGTTAGAAATGCGCATTCTCCGGCCCTACTAGAGCCAGACCCTGGGGTGGGGGCACACCTTCCAGGTGACTGACTACGCTAGAGTTGGGGACTCATCGATGCCGTTTACAAACCCTCTGGGGCCGCCTCCTCTTCATGGGTCTCTAACTAAGCTTCTCTTGCCCCTTAAGGCCTTGCTGTGGTTATGGTTTTCCCCTTCTTGCTGAATCCGGGGGCCTTATCATCCAGTGACAGTTCCTTAATCTTGGCCCCGCCTCTTACACTGCCCTTTTATTAAAATATTCTTGGCTAAATCTTTTGAGTGGATGTGGTATTGTGAAATGTATATATTTTTCCTTTGTGCTCACTTCCTGACATATAGCTTCTAAAATCCTTGGAATCTCCAGGGTGACAAGGGCGGCTTTTGTAAATTAAAGAGATGCCCAGTGGTTGGGGGTGCCTAGACAGCCTTGGGACCCAACCTTGGGTTGACACTTTTAGTCTCCCTGCCCTCATCCTGACGCCAGGGAGAGGAGAGAGGCTGGTGGTTCGGCTGACAGCCCAATGGCCAGTGATGTCATCAATCACGGCGATGTAATGAAGCTTCCATAAAAACCCCAAAGGACTGAGCTCGGTGGCTCCCTGATAGCTGACCCTGTGGAGGTTCCTGGAGGCTGCCCAGAAAGGCCTGGGAGCTCTGTGCTCCTTCTCCCATGTCTGGTCCTATGCAGTGCTCCCATCTGGCTCCTTCGCGAATGTAAGTAAAACATTTCCCTGAGTTCTGTGAGCCACTCTGGCAAATTAATGGAGCCTGAGGTAGCGGGAACTACCCTATTTATAGATGGGAGCACAGGCCAGCATCTGAATGGGGGGGCACATTCTGGTGGGACTGAGTCCTCAACCTGTGTGGTCTGATGCTGCCTCCATGTTGGTGACGTCAGAACTGAACTGAGCTGGCATCTGCCAGAGAATTTCTGGGTGGAGAGAAATCCCTACACACACAAGTGCTGAGTGGTGGGTAGAAATGATAGGTTTCTCCTGTATCCTTACGGTGTGCCACCTGTTTCCTGCCAGGATCCTCACTGATACAGTGGAGATCCAGAGGAGAGCCAGGGAAAGAGTCCAAAAGTAGAATCCTGGGATCACGTTGTTCAAATTCTTTTCTTTTAAAGAAATATTTATTTATTTATTTGAGAGGAAGAGTTATAGACAGAGAGACAGAGAGGTCTTCCATCTGCTGGTTCACTCCTTAAATGGCCATAACAGCTGGAGCTGGGCCTAACCAAAGCCAGGAGCCTGGAACTTCTTCTGAGTCTCCCACATGGGTGCAGGGGCCCAAGCGCTTGGGCCATCTTCCACTGCTTTCCCAGGCCATTAGCAGGGAGCTGGATTGGAAGTGGAGCAAATGAGAATTGAACCGGTGTCCATATAGGCTGCTGGCTTCACAGGTGGAAGCTTAGCCTACTATGCCACAGCGCCGGCCTCGTTGTTCAAATGCTTGGTGCATGCATTGATAATGGCTTTGCATGTGGAGAGAGGACACAAGTAACCCAGAGTGTGCAGAAGCATCGCAGTCTCCCAGACTCTCACCAGTGAGGCACAGGATGCAATGCTGGAAGACAAGGAAATCCGAGATAAAGTACCAGAGGCACTTAATTGCTGTGCCTGCGAATGATGATATACATATTATTAGGTAGGTTGCCTGTTCCTGATTGTGCTAACCAAATTACATTAAAAATATAAGGTTAAGTTGTTTTTTTTTTAAAGATTTATGTGAAAAGCAGAGTTACAGAGAGAGAGGAAGAGTCAGAGAGAGAGAGAGAGAGAGAGAGAGATCTTCCATCCACTGGTTCACTCCCCAAAAGGGCTGCAACTGGGGCTGGGCCAGGGTGGAGCCAGGAGCCAGGAGCTTAATCTGGATCTCCCACATGAGTTCAGGGGCCCAAGCACTTAGACCATTTTCTGCTGCCTTTTCCAGGCCATAGAAGAGAGCTGGATCAGAAGTGGAACAGCTGGGACTCGAACCAGTGCCCATATGGGATATAGGCACCACAGGCGGAAGCCACGGTGCCAGCCCCTGAGATCCCATTTTATCCAAAGACACTTTAATCATAACTTAAATTGCCAAGGGGGCCATCTTGGGTGGGTCCTTGGATTCGCCCCTAGAGGAAGGTCTTGTGGCCCTCCTCATTGGCTCACGCCTAATTATCTGTGTGGCAGTAGCAGTCCACAACAACCCTGCCCTCACCTCTGTGAATGGTCCCCTCACT